CTTGGGACCTCTTGCATCAGTTCTTGCTTAGAGAAAATACAGAAGATTTGTATTTGATATGGAGAAGGAGGAGGAAGAAAAAGGGAAGGAAGGGGAGGACAAGAAAATGATATGGAAAGAAAATTACATACAGGCTCTCCTGGAAGGTTGTTGTAGCACATTTTTGATGTTCTGCATAAAAGAAGGCCTCCGAGAATCTCTTTACCTAGTGGAGAAATATACAGCAATGCATACCATTTTTAAAGCAAGCAACTTATGCCATGTCTCATGCAACTTAAGCCATCTAGAATCAGAGTCAAACATTTTTGTACATTTCTGTATGCTTCTCTCTATTTGTCCAGACAAGTGAATTTCAAAATTGTGCTCTCTTTTACTAAAGATTAGATATTAGCCGTGGTGCATAACCCATATGGATGTTTAATGAATTTTAGGCATGATGGCTGAGGTTGTTCATAATTCAAAAACAGTTTGGAAGAAGCTTTGCAGACTCCCTGCAAGGACAGTGTGCCTTGAATATCCGGTCACTTTTCATGGGCGATGCTGTAATGGTCTGTGAGAATGTCCTTGAGGAGTCTCACACAAGGCAATGGTCAGATGAGAGTCAGCTGAGCCTGCAGAAGGGATCAGAGTGTGGCAAATGTCTCAGAAGGGACCTTCCCTAGTTTCTTAGACTGTAAAGGTGAGGGGGGAGAGATGTACTTTCAGACTGGCAAGATTGATGTCAGCCCTTTAAGGTAGTCCAAACAAGAAACTAAAACCATGAGTACTAACATTACCTAAAACTACTTTTATTGTAAGGTTACATTAACAGAATCTTGCAAGTCTGAAAGTACATCTCTGCCCTCCATGGCTCCTCCTCCTGTCTCTCAAGGACATTCTCATGGCCCATTACAAATGACTGCTTTAAAGAGGCGACTTATTAAAATTAATGTTACTCTTAAATAGGTGCATGTCTGTTTTTTCTGCCCCAACCCCTACCCCCGGCTTGTTTAGAAACTTGAAAAATGTTGGGCTGTTTTCACAAGTAGCAGAGGTTCTGTGCTCCTACCAGGTCTCAAGACTTTTATCTGAACCATTTTCCAAGTGTGCATGGTTCTCATAAATGCACCTCTAGATGTCTTGTTAAAAAGTGTGTTTTGAGAGAAAAATATAATTATAAATGTGTGTTGAGCCAAAATATATTTCTAAATATCAAAGAGACTTTGGACAACTTTAGAATAAAAGGGACAGTGACTTTAATAAAAATAAAACTTTATCATCTTATAGGAACCCAAAATAAAGTATTCCCCCCCCTTCAAAGAAAATATCTAGCCAGGCTTTATTTGAATACATCTGGCAAATCATTGTTGAATATTGATTAATCACATGGATTCTGCAAAAGATAAACATTTTGTTGCTTATTTAAAGAAAAAAGAAACTTTTGATGACAAGTGTCACCCCTTTAAACTTTGCACTATTGAAGATCTTTCACTTGACTGGTTGGCATTGAAACAATGGAACAATGTCTATTAAACAAATTATTTAATCAAGAATAGTAATTCATTAATATTTTAATAAATATCAATTCATTAATATTTTAATAAATATTAATTATCAATAACAGAAGCAGTGAGACTTTATGAGACACCTAAAGGAAATTGATGACTCTAAAGTTTGTATCATAAAGCAATCCCATAATAGCCTCAAAATTAGCACCACACACTGGAACCTATTTTCATATCAGTTTCTTCTTCTAGGTTGGGCACATCAGTGTTCTGCAAGGTTACCCTTAAAGTGTGATGCTCTTGAACAAGGTAGGCCGTGACATCAGGATGTAGGGTTACAGTTGCCAGAAACTGGGTCCAGAGGGCCAGAAGGTGGGAGCAGAGCCAAGCAAGGTCTTTGCTGATCTGTTCTGCTATCTTTTCTGAATTATTCAGCATCTAGATGAAGTCAAGAAAAGAAGTTTTCAGGCCAAGTTTAGTTTTCAGGTCAAGAAAAGCTAGTGACAACGACATGATATAAACGAATTATTTGGGAAACCAACTGAACATGTGAATATTTGGCTAAATGAAATTGTTTCCCATTAATGCTTATTGAACATTAATATTCTACAGAGCTTTACATGGATTGTCCCAAGAAAGGTTTGTGATGCAACTTAAAGATTGTTTTAGTTAGAGAATTGGATAAAAGAATCAGAATCTAGAATAAACCTACTAGCGGCCCATGTCAGCTACTTATGTTTCTCATTGCTGATTCTTAGTTGTGGTAAGTGTTGACTCGAATTAGGATTTCCAGTCTTAGAAACATTTGTTCTAGATTAAAAAGGTAAAGATGTTTGTTACCAAGCTTGATTCCTGGTGATTATGAGGAATCTATGCAGTTTTCTTGGGAATGGTACAGGAGACGTTTGCCACTATCTTCTATTTTTTTAACATTCCAGTCTAGCCTACAGTCCAAATGTTCTCGTGCCTCCCATCCAAGTACTAACCTGGTCCAACTCTGCTTAGCTTATGATCCCAAGATTAGCGAGGAGCTGCTACCTACTGTTCAGGATCAGTGCGCGCACACACACACGCACACACTCTTACATACATACCCATCACATTACTCATGTCAGGGGTAAACGGTGTTATGCAGTGCACAGAAAAGAAATAAGAAATAATAAAGAAATGAAGGGGATAAGATCCAAAAAGGAGGAATATAACTGAATCTAGTTTACACCCATGCCATTTTTATACCTCTTCAACTGGCCTTAAAAAGCTTCCATATTTCCACCACATCCATAAACATTGAATACAATTGTCCATTGTTGTTGCTGTTTTCTCTCTCTTTCTTTCTGATTCCATCAACTCATCCAGCCACGACTCTCTCGGTCTTTCCCTTGCTTTCAGACCGTTCACTTGTTCTTCATATATTTATTTTGTGATTTGATCCTTCATATTATCAAACCCTTTCAATACTGTTGTTTCATGCTGGTCATTCACTTTTGTATTTAATCCACAACTTATTCATTCTTCACCCCATATCTTCTTACTATACTTTCTTCTGAAGTATCTTACTCTCACTACATCCAATTTACTTTTTTGTTTCCCCTGATAAATCCAACTAGGACTTTCTAAATCAGTGGGCAGAGGCCCACTCTTACCCACAGTGATTGTCACTTCTTTTGACAAATATTTATTCCTTGAAACAGACTCACCAGGATTTACATGTCTACAAGGCTTTACATGTCATGAAATGTCTCCATCTATTCCCCCATCTTTAGTAAACATTTTACCAACTACAGAACTTCATCTACTTACTTTATTTTTCACCATTTATGTACCATGTGCAACTTTTCACCCTATTTTCTCTGACAAACAAAACTGCCTTAGTCTCTGATACATTACTTTTCAGATTCATATTCCTCCCTGCATCATTTAAACTAAGACTAACCGCAAAGCTCTTAGATGCTCAGGTAACAACACAGCATTGTTTGCACACAACAGTACATACAGATTCATATTTCTAACAGTCTTCTAATGTCACCAGAAGCATTAATTTATGCTTATCCATAAATACATAAAATAACCAACGGACATTACAATCCTTTTCTGACTTCTTGCTCCGTATTATATCATTTGTTAAGCATTCCATTTCCCTTTAGCTGTGCTTACTTCCATGATATATCACTCTTACCATATTCAGCAGATGTTCAACTCCTATGCAAAACATCCCATAACTGAATCCCATTCCCTTTATCAAACCCTTTCTGAAAATCAACAACTTTCTCTCTCACATTCATTCATTTCTCATTCATTTTGCTCTGAAGAGCTAAGCATAAAGCCATACTACACTTTCAAAATGTGGCTCACTGTTACCCTTTCAACCAGAATTCTGCCTAACACCTTCCCAGGCACCCTTACAAATGAATCTCTCTTTGGTTTTCACATTTATTCTTGCTACTTTTCCCTTTGTCTAGGGGAAAAATCACTCAATGTCCTTCATACACTGTAAACAAATTGCACAGCCACCCTATGAACAAGATCTGGGTGTCTGTAGACCCTCCGATCTTAGTTTCTGGAGATGCTCATGCTAGACAGAACGTACAATTGTGACTATTTACAAATTAACCACTAGATGGCAATGCCTAATTCTGTAATATAATCTATAAAGTATGATTATACAGGTACTTTGTATGTATAATTAGCATTTTTATGGGGCCAGACATTTCTGCTAGGCCCAGAATGATTTTCTTGTTTGTTCATACAGGCAGGGTGGTCAACCTAGATTTGTTTCTTTATTTTTAGAATTAAAAGCTGGTGCAGGATCAAACCACAAATTGGTCACTAACAAATTTGTGGACAAATCCCTTCTTCTTTTTTTCCCCCTAGGAGTGGTGATCATTGCAGGTAATCTCAGATATTAAGATTGGAAATAAATTCTTCTCAATAACAGTAAATTATAGTCAAAGACTTGGTTCCCTTTTTATAACAGTCTTTGCCTAATGGTAACCTTCTTGAACATGTATCTGCTCTAAATTTTGTTATGTCTGTCTGCCTGTCTTTGTGTATGTCTGGGTGTGTGTTTGCCTGTCCTTTGCCATAATAGCCTTATCATTCCTGCGATACCATCTCTGATATCTCGGAGGTTCAGCTGGCTGATCTGTGCAGTTGTCATCATACTCTTGGCCAAATGTAGCTTGGCCAACTCAGGGCCAAATATAGCTTCTATTTTTGTACACATTTCTTTGATTGGGTATTATGTTTGGAGAATCTGGCACAGAGCATACAAATAGAATAACACTTGTTTCTGAACTCTGTCTACAGTTTTATCTACTTAGACAAAGTATTTCAGATTGGCCAGAATCATCTATATCATCAATTCAGGAAGCACTGATGTCATCATAACCCTCTATTTGCCCTTGTTGCTGTTACATCATTAGAAACATTTCGTGATCCTTGATTGGCTGGGATCACTCCAGGAAGTAGAAATCAGAGAGAAAGCTTATTCTACAAAATATGTCTGTGAAGCTCAGAGAAGCAAGGATAAATCTAAACTGTATTCTGTTTTCTTTTTAATTTTTGAGAGAGAAATGATTTTAAATTTTAAAAATATTTAACTGAGTAATGTTTGTAGGTGAATACTCAGCTCATGCTCATGAATCTTGCTATACAAGATGACGATGCTGTTGATGTTCACCATGATCATCAAATTCTATCTTAGATGTATAGAGTGCACTTTCCAAGTTGGACACACTGTCATAATTGGGTTGTAAGAGTTATAGAAAAGTTCCCAGCTTGCTTGATTGCTTGCTTTTTATTTTTACTATTGTAAATCCCTTTTAGAGGTGATTTTTCATATAATTCTGACCTTGTTCAGCTTTCCTATTTCCAGGGAACATCTGCAATAAGCCAAAATATTGCCTTGGTGATTCTTTGGAGTGAATTAGGTGGCATGGCGGGTGCAAAATATTTACTGAAGGTGGGAAACAAATGTGCTATTCAACATTTCAACACTTCCTCCATGGTTGTTCACAAGCACTGTAGCTACAACAACAGAAAAGTGACTTGATGCTCAGGGTCAAATTGGTGTAGGATAGATTTTAAAAGACCTCCCACATCCTAATCTAACACTCTATCCCAAGAATATGCAAACTTCTTGAGATTTTTTTTTTTAAGACAACACATTCATAGAGAAACAGAACAAAACAAGAATGGATAAAGATAGGCTAACGTGACTGGAAATAAATAGAATTGAACATGCTAAAAATAAAGCGTCCCCAAGTTTATGTTAAAACTAAATGAATGGAATACAGCCTATTGTGTTTTGCGTTTGACGTTAACACTACTTCCCGGTGTTAGCCATGCAGAAATACCTGCAGCTCTTCAGAAAGTTGTGATAGTGTCTGTTCCACAGCAAGATCTTCTAAAAATAAAAAAAAAAGAAGAAGAAAAGGGAGATCCATTATTTGAGACACGTACACTGAACAGAAACAGAAGAAAGAAGGGGAAAACTTGCCAACTCTAGGAAAACAGAAACTGCAATCAGGGCGTCAGAAAAACCATATGATTCTTCATCAGTAAAGTCATGCACCTGAGAAATTCATTCATTCTTTTTTTCCATCAGCAGAGTAGATGCACTTGGCTGATCACAAAAAGTTAAGTAGGTTCTGACCTCATTAGTACTTGAATGGGAGACAAACATAAAACCCCAGGCTAGACTAGCCTAGACTAGCAGGCTGAAAAATAAATAATCAAACAAATCCCAGAAAGAAAGAAAAAGTCAATGGCAAACTCTTCCACATTGTTACCAGGGAAACTACATGGAGCAGGAAGGAAACTTGATTCGTGGGGATCTTTATTTTTACCATTTATTTAACCTTTAAAACATAGTTATAAAATACACATATAAGCAATATTATTGTGCATTACAAGTGGATTTCCTGCTTCAAAATCAGAACACGGGAGAAAAGAGAGAGGGGGGGAGATGTAACCACCAGAGATGAGATAGTTTATATTCAGATGGCATACTTTGGTTTAGATCTGACAGCTTCTTAACAATTGCCAAATAAGATGTCAAAAGGTTGCCTTTGAGAAATGCACAGTTCACCCCATAATTAAGAGTAGAACTGAAGGTCACCTTTCACAGGAACACCTGATACAACATGAATATGTTACCCCCATGAAAAGTTCTATCTGTAAGTAACTGGAGAATAGTCCAAACAACTGAACAGACATAAATTCTCCTCCTTAACATCTCTATCAACACAGATTCTTTAACTGACATCTTTGATTATGATTGATGCCCTGATACCTAGGAACTTCATCTGCCTATGTATTCCAGGAGTATAATTTAGGGGTTTGGTAGTGATTTAAAGTAATTTATTCAATGTAATTTGTTCAATTTAGTATGGCTGCTGACTCCAGAAGACTCTGGGCAACTTTTAAAATTCACAAAAAGAGTAAAACAATTAAAATAGAACTGCCCAGACTAAAAAACTAGAACGACAAACAGTCCAGACAGCACAAAATAACAATAACAAAACAATAGGTACTAATAACCAACAATAACAAAATAATAGATAACAATAGCAAAATAATAAATAACAATAACAAAATAATAAATAACAATATGTACAACTCCTCGCTGTGATCCTTTGGATGGTCCAGCTGCCTTACTCTCTCTAACCGGGAGCAGGTCACTCTAAACAGGGCCACTGGACAACTATCATATAAAATAACTATGTTTTGCTGCCCTCATTGCCATGCTCATTGCCTGAGTATGGGCGGTCACTTGAGTTCAGTCAGATTCACTCTTTGTCTTTATCCAACGGCACTCCAGGTGTTGCTTCTGACGACTCGTGTTCAGAAGCTCTTTGGAAAACCATGGTGCACCCTGGAATCAGTGCCCAGAGAGAGGCTGTCAAAGGCCTCATTCGCTGCCTATTCCAGCATGTATCCAAGGACTCAACTGAGCTATCCATCAGATCCTCAAGGAAAACTCCAAGCTCCCTCTGGAAGACAACAGGACCCATCACATGACTGGGGTGGGCCGGTCTAACAGGCCCTGTCATTTAAATGACGATAAGGTTATAAGCAAAGCCCTGCTGGTTCATTTTCCCTTTCCATGATTGCAATCCCACAGGGATGGAAAAGGAAGTGACTTTGAAGGGCTTGACTCCTCTTCGTCTCCCATGACTGCCTCTGAGGGCACAGTTCCAAGTCATGTATTAAGCCAGCCAAGACACCCAAGCTGGTTCCCTAATCAATGGTCATGACTCCAATCTCTGCAAGGTGACACATCATTTATGGGACCAGGATGGAGAGGATAGTATTAGAAGAGCTGATGTTCCTCACAGCATAAAGGAAGTGAAATTGAAGGCTGATTAGAACGCCTTCAAACATGTCAGTGAAAATGGTAGGTAAAATGCATCAGGTAGGTTTGAAATGTAATGCTTCACATTTTAATATGGACTGAGCAGTGGTTAGCTTTTTTGACTTCTCTGGGTTCTGTACGGGGGGCGGAGGGAGAGACATGTGCCGTGTTTTGGCTCTGAAAGGACAACAGTATTTCAAAGTCTGTAGGGATAAGAACATCTAGGCACATTCTTGTGTCTTCTTCTTCTTCTTCTTCTTCTTCTTCTTCTTCTTCTTCTTCTTCTTCTTCTTCTTCTTCTTCTTCTTCTTCTTCTTCTTCTTCTTCT